GGGCATTATGTCAGTTTCGGTTACATTGCACAGTTTTCAGTATTGTTATCATAACATTTTCTCCTGATGTTCGATTAAGGCGATTCGAAGTGCGTTGGAAGCTAATGTAAAGAGAGACAATTTTTCTAGTAGTAGACATTTTCCAATTTGGATGTTACTAAGTCAAAAATGGATCTCAATCTCCGACTAAAAATCTAGAACATCCTTGTGTGGTTGAAAATTGATTTGTGAAGTTATATGGTTATTTTTCACTTTTCTTGACATCTAATTGCACCCAATTGACCCCTAACATTCTTGAATCATCATTTCATCTCCCACTTCATCTTTGAATTATTTACAACCTGGTCCTTGAACTTTCATTTTCTTCCACTTTGGTCCTTTTTTGCTTGTTTCTTTAAATTTCCACCATTTTCATTCACTTGTAACATAAATCAAAATATAAAGGTACTTAGTACATTTAGGCATCAATTTATCATACAAATGCAAGTATAAATGGATGAAAAACCTAACAATCAACATTGTTATCAGTGGTCTTATGGGATAATTCTAAATATGATAGTTACTATTTTGATAATTCGAATCAAATTCATCACTCTCGAATTTCATTATGAAGTTTTCCCAAAAATTAGTATCTAAATAAGTTTTGATGAACCAACCTGGGTATTAATCCAAAAATTTAATAAAGAAATAATGATTTTGTTCTTTTTATAACGTAAAATTCAAAAACTAGTAAATTCAGAAACTGGGTGAAACCATCAATTCTTAGTTATTTTATCCCTTTTTGCCTTGCAACATTATTGGTTTTGCCTAGTATCCAATTCTTATAACACTGGTCTTAACTGAAACTATAGTGCGAAGATTATTCATTTATAATTTATGGAAATCGGAGTGGTTTCTTTTTGTAAACATTCACAAGAGATAAAGGACTAGTAGGATTGTTCTGTGCCATGAAATCTCTTTATTTTTCTTGTGTTTCTCTAGCTACCTTTAAATTTGAAAGAGTTTCATGTAAATTTTACAGTTTAGTGTAACGAGTGATCTTGATAATTATTAGCCACAAGCACAAGATAAGAAAATCAACAAGTTCAATGAACCACAAATTTTATTAACTTCTAACAAAATTTACTAAAAATTCGATTTTTTTTGCAATACGAAACAAGACCAAAGTAAAGATTACTTTTCTTTTAAAACAAGAAGTTCAAACAAAGAAAGGCTACTGAAAAAGACTATCCAAGTCAACAATAACTCCTTGGGAAAAAGTTATGAATTATCAAATCAATAATTTCCCATCATTAAATAATGTCGTGGATTAAGGTAATGACTTCTTGAATAAAAAAACAAAAAGGAAGACTTGACTTAAACCTTGCCCCTCCAATTGATGTTTATTTTCCAGAAAAGATTCTCACCATGGATTAAGGTAACGACTTCTTGAATAAAAAACAGAATGGAAGACTTGACTTAAACCCCGCCCCTTCAGTTGATGTTTATTTTCCAAAAACAATTCTCGCCGTAGATTAATGTAATGACTTCTTGAATAAAAAACAGAATGGAAGACTTGACTTAAACCCCGCCCCTTCAAGTGATGTTTATTTTCCAGAAAAGATTCTCCAAACAATTATGTACTTTGGATAAATTTATTAGTAAATTTTAGGAGGAATACTATTGGATATCACGAAATTATATTCATCGACATGGAATATCTTTAAACTTATTTTTATTGTAGTTCTCTGGTTTGAAGAAATTCTTTTCTTGTAATGTAGATAGTTTTTCCTTAATAAACTGCTTTGAAAAATGAATTATGAGAAAATAAGTATGATATACTTGTTAAATATATGAGTTCCAATAGATACTAAAGACTTGGAAAAGAGTCTGGACTTTTTTGTAAAAAAAAAAATAAAAAAAAAAAAAAAAAAAAAAAAAAAAAATTCACACTACAAGAAAATATGGCTTTCCCGACCAACAATAAAATTGTCTGTGAAAATGCTCCTCTACCAACCAAAAAAATGACTTAGTCGACCATTTCTTTTGCTGAACACATTTTTCCCGACCCCCCAAAAGTAGTCAATAAAAGCCCTCTTTGCTGACCACTGTTTATCGACCACCAAAAACTAGTCACTAAAAATAATATTTACCGACCACAGACAATTGTTGGTCGGCCTAAACTAGTTATATTTGTAGATTACATTCATCTAGTCGGTAAATAACTTATTTTGAGTAAATTTTTTTGGCGGAGGACATGGTGCCTAAACATTTACCAACCAAAAATAATTATTGGTCGGCCTAGACGAGATATATTTGCAGACTAGATAAAACGGGTCGGTGAATATCTTATTTTTTGGGCAATTTTTGTGGCGGGGGACATGGCGCCTAAACATTTACCAAACAAAAATAAATATTGGTCGGCCTAGACGAGATATATTTGTGACTAGATAAAATGGGTAGGTGGATATCTTATTTTCGTGCAATTTTTTTTTTTTTTTTTTGACGAGAGACATGGCACTTAACATTTATCGACCAAAACAATTATTGATTGGCCTAGATGAGATATATTTGCCTACTAGATGAAGGAGGTTGATGAATATCTTAATTTTAGGGCCAAATCGTTTGGCGGAAAATAGAGTGACTAGATATTTACTGACTAAAATAATTCATAGTTGGGATACATGAAGACGTACTTGCCGATTAAATGAAAGAGGTTAGTGAATGTCTTATTTTTTGGGCTTTAATTTTTTTCTTGAGGGAATATGGCACCACACACATGTAAGGACCAAAACAGTTATTATTCGTCCTACATAAGACATTATTGCCTACCGAATGAAGGGGCTCAGTGAATATCTTATTTTTGGGCTAAAATTTCTTACGGAGATATGGTAGCTATAATTAATTGGACTTTTAGACCCAAAATACATTTAGTTAGGATAAGAAATTGTTATCTATCCTCTCATTACTAAAAATTTATCAATGACAAATTTTCATTGCTATTACCAACATAATTTTGGATTTTATCGTGACCAATTAATACTAATTTTTCATTTTTTTAAATAAAAAAATTAAATTATCAATGGATTTACACCTATAATATTTTTTTTGGTAAAATCCAAGGTAATTCGTTGGTAAAAATAAATTAGTAATTTTTCGATGAATTTTCCAATAGATGACTTAGTATATAAATAGAAGAAAATTTTTTTTTTAAAAAAATCTGATGATGTATACGGATAATTTTACTTAATCGGTATTGTTCTCCAACCTTCCGTCGATATAGTAGGATAATTAGGAACAGACGTGGTCTAATTCGGTCTGATTCTAAAGGGAATCATACTAAACTGAATATCAGTGAGAATATCTAAAATGAAACCAGTGGTTCCATAGAACTGAACCAATTGGTTCCGATACAGTCTATCCAATTCTTTATATTGAAAAATTGTAAAAATAGAATATAAAACTACTTGTGATACTAAAAATAGACAAAAGTAGAGTATGAAATCTCTTGTGTAATCTAATAAAAAAAAATCAATTAAACAAGACAACAACAAAAAATCCATTCCAAGACTTAAGATCAACTCATTAAAGGCAAAAAAATGAATAAACTATTGAATGCATCATAAATGGTAAAAACTCGATCGAAAATTGATTCTTTGGAAAATTCGTATAACAATAAACTGATTATCTTTAGTAATCCTCTAGTAACTTGATTCTTAATGGCCGATCACTTTGAAAACAACAAGAATTTTAATTCCTGTAAGATATTGAACTAAAAATATATTTTTTCTATTGGATTGCATTAAAACTATGAATTTGTAAAGTATTTATAAAATTATTTAAATTTTAGTTTTGATTACACACTAAAAAGAGAAGAAAGAGTATAAAGAAAATGAAATTTGAATGCAAGATAATTTTGGGATATATTGTTCAAAGATCCAGTGCATCTGGATGCAAGCATAAAGAGAAATTCGAGAGAACCGAATTCACTACTAATTCCCAAGATAGTACTGAAAATAGGATTGAAATTGATTTGTTCTCGATGTACGGTCCAGAGTTGACCCATTTAATGGAGGAATCAAACTAGACTGGTCGATTCTATTTGGTTTTGGTCCAAGTCCATTGATTCCGGGGAAAAGATGCCCAACCCTGAAGATAATTACTGTAGTAGTATTAGTACGGTTACAAACATTCTTCTATAAAATATCATAGTCATTTGGTACACTTAGTCCCCGTTTGGTACTAATTTTTTTTCAAAATACATTTTTCTCTATTTTCTTTTAACCACACATTTTTTATTAAAATAATATTACACGCAAATAAAAAAATTTTCCTTATTTTTCAACCATACACTTCCCATCAAGTTATTATTCTAAAATGCATTTTTATATAAAATAGTTCTCAAACACCCTCTTAATCTTAATGTCATAATTAACTTTCTATCTAGCATTCTCTATAGACCTTTGTTAAATATCAACGACTTGACCTTTTGAATGTCTACTGCCAATACTCAATTCGTGCCCTTCAAATAATTTCACGGTTCTTTCTTATGGAACCATACATATTCAGTAATTACAAAAACCAAACTTAAACCTGGACTGTCAGTTTTAAAGTATTTTAACATATTAATTTTAAAATTTTGAAGTATCAAGACTAATTGTAGAATAATCTATCTAATTAACAAATTATTAATATGAAAATTAAAAAAAATTATTGTTTTTGAAGTGTTTTATTTTTATTTTTTGTATGTTTTAAAATTAATTGTTAACTTAAATTTGAATCTACTTTTTAAATTAAGTTCATGTTTGGTAGAAATTAAAATTTAGATTTAATTTAAGTCAAAATTAACAAATAATTTTAATCATACATTTTATAAGATCCACAATTTTTCAATCATACATCTCATCAACTTTTTTAAAAATTTACTAAAAATATTTAAATCAAACAAAAGCCATATGTTTGGGGCGAAAATTTTGGCGGGCAAAATGGTGCAAGTCCCACCCCGAAATATAGGTTTAGGTAAGAATTTTCAATTTCGCTTCTCTCCAAATCTGCGTCTCCTCCCCTGTGCCGTTCCCCTCTCTCTTTCTTCCCCCCGTTCGCATCCTTCCCCCCCGCCTCTCTCTCCCCCGTCTGCATCTCCCCAGAGCATTCTTGGAGTTGACATTGAAAATTTTTGACCCACCATGAACGCAAAAGGGCAAAAACAAACCAAAACGGCAAGATCCCGAGAAATCAAAAGGACAAAATCAAGAATAAAAAAGTAAGAACGATGGTCGAGGCTGGAGATTTGGAGCTGAGTGGCCTTCATCGCCATCAACAGTTCACCTCTCAATTTTCTCTCCGTTGACGATGGTATTTTTCTTCAAAATAATCTGTTTTGTTTGAAGAGAAAGAAAAGGCTGAAAAGCAGTAACTTTTGAGTTTTGTTATTGAATTACATGAATTTAGGCATTTAGCTTTGTGTTGGAATTACATTGAATCATTGATATTATTTTGATTCCTAGATTCTTAGATGTTTTTTCATGTATTGGACCGAGCAGTGGGCAGCAAATGAGGCTTTATGTGAAATTTGAATTGCATAGAGTTTAGACATTGAGGCAATCAGATCCTGGAGCTTGGGTGCTATTTCTGTGATTACCAAGAGAGCTGGGAACTAAAGGTCAAACACTTGTGAAAACCATCACTGGAGTAATATGATTAGAAGTAACAACAGGAACACGACAAATTTAAGTTATTAGCTTTCTCTTTTTTGGAGTTGATAATTAATTTATATAATAATAATCTCTTGAGTGGGCAAGACAATTTCGCTTGCTGATCCAGTAATGAATACTAGTCTGGAGGATTGCAGAATTTAAATAGTGGGAATCTTTTGGATTTGCTAATGCCATTAATTGATTTTAAGTTCCAACGACCATGTTAATTGTCCTCTAGCTCTTTGTATTACTCTTTCATGTCCCTCTTATAATTATGGATTTTTGACTGTTATGAAATAATCTCCTAAACTCAAGTTACTCTTGCATTTCATTAAATCTAATTTATTAACATTTTGTGAAACTACAGGAGAGTTGATTGATATAATTTTTGTTCTAATTTTACAGTTTAGGAAGTGTTAGATGTTGAGTGACTTGAGTCAAATGCCATACCTCTAATTTTTGTTTCTTTATTATTGATTTTAAGTTGATAAATTTAGTTACTTTAAACTTTTATAAATTAAAAAAATCGATTGCTTGCTATGACTTAGGATGTAATGATTTGGATCTCTGTACCCAAGCCTTTATATTACGTACTATCCGCTTTGGACGTGCCTTGCGTCCACTTACTCCTCATGGCTTTCTATCGCTTCTCCTAGGATTCGAACTCATAACCCTTCCCTTAATTAAGACTTAAGTTGAATCTTGGTACCAATTGGGTGAGAGCTCCGAGCTCATGGAATTGGTATCCCAATGAGTCGTCTATCGAATCGTTGCAATTGATGTTTGATTCCGAAGAGAAATCATCGCACCTACGGTCTAACCAATTGGGAGAGAATCAATAGATTCCTTTTCGGGAGTGATTCATCTGAGGAAACCTTTGCACGCCTCCGTTACCTTTTGGGAACAAATTGATAGGATCCCCATGTCGCCAGTTGCCCAATTGGTACCAGGATCCAACTTAAGTCTTATTTAAGGGAAATGTTATGAGTTCGAATCTTGGAGGACGCGACATAAAGCCGTGAGGGATAAGTGGGCGCAAGGTCTGCCCAAAGCGGACAGTACGTAAGTTAACGGTTTGGGTACAGAGACCCGGGTTGTTACATAGGAGGCCAAATTCTAAAGTTCGCCTCACGACCTGTGAAACACAGATCCGGCCCTATTTGGGAATGCGTACCATATGCAAGGGACTAATGGGGATTTTGTTTTTGGACATTAGTTATGTTTGATTAGTATGAAGTTTCTAATATTGCAGAATATCTAAATGCAATCCAGTTCAGCTGTGAAGTTATGATGATTACCATTTATGATCTGATATTAAATCTTATGAGGAAATTATGACATGATTACAGTGTTAAGTTTGAAGGGATTGGATATGAATTTGAGCAATTTGTAACTCAACTGCTAATTTGGTCTTGACACAAACTTTTTGCATTGGCGCTGAAGATCTACTTTGCTATTATTTGCATCTACATTGGCTCCCAATTTATAGAAAAACTGTTGGTCATTTGTGCTAAACTTCGAGTTGAGGTTTCTTGCCACTTCCTTTGGTTTACCTATGATCTTAAAATTTTTTCCGAAGTTGGTAACATGAAGTAGGTAATTAATCTACTACCTTGTGGGTGCTTGTTTAACATGGATGCTAATAATTTTCAGTAATTTATTTTCCTTAAGGATAAAAGCTTATTTAATTTCGTCTTTCTACACAACAACTGATGCTCTTTTACAAAATTTTGGGCAATGTGGTCCATCTTGTTGTCTTTGTTTATTACGTGTTGTTGTACTCTGATATCTTTTATTGTATGTGCGTGCATATGGCATGTTATGCCATTATATGATTTCAATATTGCTGTCAACATTAATTTCTATTCAAATTTGGATGGTAGGTATATTTCAATTTTCCCCAGGGATGTGATGTCTGTAATCATCTCTGTTTATTTCTGTGTGGTTAAATCATGACAAGCTTCTTCCAGGTATGATAAATGACGTGATGAATTCCTTTGAAGTCATATTTTTACGTTATGGAGTTGATATTGTGTGATTTTTCTTTAATACATAGGATGGAGTCATTTTGTGCAGCTCACTATTGCTGTGTGAACAAAGATGCTAAAAGGTCCAAGTATTCTGGTAAGTTACTCAATTATCACTTTTATTTTTGTGGTCAAGTTTTCATTTTCAATCATGACCAGCCTGAATATGTATTTAAAACTTTGCAGATACTAAATCAGTTTTGGAAAAAGGATCTTATTTTCGTCCTGAGTATTGCAGCACTAAAATTGAAGTCACATACGAGGAGGCTGTTGCTTTAAACTGGCAAGAAGAGCTTATCAGTGAAGAGGCAGCTTGGATGGTCGAGAATGAGCAGAACGCAAAATGTGGATCAGCTGACAGGGAAAAGAAGTCAAAGAAAAAGTAGGTTTGGTAAAATCAGTTTATACCTCGTGAACACTAGTTCCATCCAATTGGAAATAGAGAAGATGGGGTTACAGTTGAAGTTGTTGAACTTTTACTAGTTAGACAATAGAAAATGTTGATATCTAGGATGTGTATTGCGTTAGTCAAGAAAAAGGTGGCATTGTCCTTCAAATTTTTCTTCTTCAGTGAGATCAAGTTCGTGAAGTATTGCATTTTTGTTTCTGTGAACATATTTTGGCTTTGTAATCAATGTTAAATGTATGATATCTTGTAAGATTCTATGCAATGGAAATATCGTGTGATTTTAGATATTTCTAGATTTTGAATTCTTGTTGGCGCATTGTACTTGAGTTGGGCTTTCAATCTCTTTTGGCATTTTGATTATTGTACGGTATTTTTTTTTTTTCAAAATAAAATCACATTTATCGACTACAATTTAAATTTCCTTGGTCAACAAAGGAGATTTTCCCCGACTAATCTCATGTGGTCAGTCAATGTTTATCACCACCAATCTAAGTAATTTTATTGATTGGCAAATGTATATTTTTTCCGACCAATGACTGTGGTCAACTTATGTTTGCTACCACCACTCACAGCTTTTTAACGAGTATTATTGCTGACTATGTTTAGACTTTTACTGACCAAGAAAATAGTCAAGGAAAAACTCGATCATTTCCGACCAATATAGCTCCGGTAGGTAAAAACTTCTATATTCACCGACTAACATGTACTTTGGTCGGTGAAAACATTCACTGACAGGCTTTTGGCGACTAGCCACCGACCAGAGTTTTCTACTCAAGAATTGATTTTACTCTCCAATATTCGACTTTTAATGACCAATATTCTTGTAGTGTCAAGACTTGATTACATCTTCTTATTGATTTCTATTTTTTATTTATGGAATAGATTCTCACTTAAATTTGCAGTTGACTTCCAAATTGTAAGTTCACATGATAATTTTATGTATCATATTACTAGTTATGTCATAAATGAAAGTCATTGACCAAAAATTTAGTTATTAAGTTTTGGAATGAATTAATGTCTTAAGTAGTGTTCAATAAGCCCTAGCATTGATTCAAAAAGTAAAGAGAATAGACTCAAATGGTTGAATCAGAATTAAAGTTGTTGTCAAACAATTAAATAAACAAATAAGTGATTTTATACTTTTTTAACAAAATAGAACTTGAATAAGTAATAAAATTGAAAATATATAGATGATAAGGTTAATTCTGGGTTATTTTATTGATTTTTAAAATTTCAATTCACGCAAAATATTACTAAGACCAGCTTCTTTTCAACTCTCGTTTTATGGGTTAAACCATTCCGTTTGATCCAATTTTTATAACAATGGTCTTAATTGAGTGAATATAATGCATAAATTTATCAATTTAATATTAATGAAAATTGATATGATTTCTGTTATATTAGTTATGAAAGAACTTTTAGCAACGTTGCATACTATTACATATCTTCAATTCTTCTGGGTGGAACCGATTATTTCAATACAATTCATATAATAGTGGTCTGAACTGAAACGACACTAGAAGACTTATCCATTCATAATATATGACAATTGGAATGGTTTCTTCTGTAAATATTTATGGAAGATAAAGGTCTTTAGCAATGTTGCATGCCATGATATCTCATTAATTTTTGTTGTGTTTCACTAGCTAACTTTAAATTAGAAAGAGTTCTATGTAAATTTTGGCAATTGTGTAAATTTTTGGGCAAGATTCTTCCGATCGCAAATCAATTAAGCACCTTTTTCGTGCTTCAGCTATCTCCAATCCTACATCAAAATTAAACACTATTTAACACTAAATTTTGCACCAAACTAAAAATCATTTCTAACC